CAGCAGCAGCAGCAGCAGCAGCAGCAAGGCCCACACGCTCGCCCCGTGCAGCGCCACGAACCGCACGCCCCGGTGCAGCGCCGACAGCAGCAGCAGCACGAAGTGACACAGAGTCGACGCCGGAGACCGCAGCAGCCGCAGCTGCTGCCGCTGCTGCTGCTGCTGCAGCCGCACCGCCGCCCAGTCCACGCACAGCCCCTTCCGGCAGCAGCAACGCCGGCCCTGCTGCTGCTGCGGATCCTGCTGCTGCTGCTGCTGCTGCGACGGGCAGCTGCTCAGGATCGGCGCCGGAAACCCGTACGCCGCAGCAAACAGCTCCTCGAAAGACGCAGCAGCAGCAGCTCCGCCGCCAGCAGCAGCAGCAGCAGCAGCAGGGAGGCCCCGGGGGCCCCCGGGGGCCCCGCTCAACTCGACGGCGCCTGCAGCGCGCATCGCCTACAAGCTCGACGAACACCCCACCTGCTGCTGCTGCTGCTCTGATGCTGCTGCTGCAGTGCTGCTGCTGCTGCTGCAGTGCTGCTGCTGCTGCTGCTGCAGTGCTGCTGCTGCTGCTGCAGTGCTGCTGCTGCTGCTGCTGCAGTGCTGCTGCTGCTGCTGCTGCTGCTGCAGTGCTGCTGCTGCTGCAGTGCTGCTGCTGCTGCTGCAGTGCTGCTTGCTGCAGAGCCGCGGGCAGAGGAGAAGCGACCAGCTGCTTCTGCTGCTGCTGCTGCTGCTGCTGTTGCTGCTGTCGCGCCTTCAGCAGCCTCTTGGGTTTGAAGCAGAAAGAGACAAAAGGAAAAGGCAAAGAGCTGCTGGGAAGTCAGCCAGGAGCGTCGAGGGCTTAGGGTTTAGGGTTTAGGGTTTGGGGACCAGGATTTGGGGTTTAGGGGTTGCAGCTTGTGCTGCAGTGAGAAAAAATCCAACACTCTTCCCCCCCCAGGACCTGAAGATATGTCCTCTACCCCAAACCCCAAACCCCAAACCCTAAACCCTAAACCCTAAACCCTAAACCCTCACGCGACGAAGACAAGGGCCGCGCACCTCAAGATACGCCCCGATTTCGCCACGCAGCAAATTCAATTAATTAAATTTTTTAAATTAGAATGACAGAAGAGAGAGACACCAGAAAAGAGGAAGAGGAACGGGAGCAGCAGCAGCAGCAGCAGAAGCAGCAGCAGCAGCAGCAGCTGCAGCAGCAGCAGCAGCCGACAGCCCCAAACGCCTCTTCGAAAAAACCCAAAAAAATATAGAGCAGCATTAATTTATTTGCTGCGTCTGATCTTCGGGGTTCATTTAATTCCCAACCCGTGCAAACCCTAAACCCTAAACCCTAAACCCTAAACCCTAAACCCTACCCCCGCGCCACCACCACCCTCCCCCTCGCCCCTTCACTTCTTCTTCTTTTTATTTTCTTTTTGAGTTGAAGCAGCTGCAGCGGAGACACAGAGAGACAACAAACCCTCGGCGCGCCCTAAACCCTCTTTTAGGGTTTAGGGTTTAGGGTTTAGGGTTTGGGGCCCTCAGCGCATTCACCATTAACCCCTGCATCTCTCGCGTGTCTTTCTCCCCCAAACCTCCACAACTAAAATAAACAAATTTGCTTCTGTGTTGCCAAATAAATAAATAAATAAGCAAATAAATAAATAATTAAATAATTAAATAATTAAATAGTTAAATGCTGCTGCACATGGGGCCCCCAGCGCAGCAAAACCCTAGGGGCCCACAGGGGCCCCCCCTGCTGCAGTCGCAGCAGCGGGCGCGGCAGCAGCTGCTGCGCATTGCAGCAGCTGCAGCAGCAGCGCCGAGCCCCGCAGCAGCAGCAGCAGCAGAAGCAGCAGCAGCAGCAGCAGCAGCAGCAGCTCCTCGTTTGCTGCGCTGCTGCGTCTGCGGGCCGCCCTCAGCAGCAGCAGACTATTGTGTCTATGAGGCTGTTGCAGCATATAACAGCATCAGCATCAACTATTTGCTGCTGACCTTAGACAGGCCCCCGCTTGGTGCAGCAGCCGCAGCAGCAGCACAGAGTGCCGCCGCAGCAGCAGCAGCAGCAGCAGCGGGATCAGGAGCAGCAGCGGCAGCAGCACCCCGAGGAGGCTCAGGCTCTCAATCTGCTGCTGCTCCTGCAGCAGCAGCAGCAGGCCCCGCACTGGGTGCAGCAGCAGCAGCAGCAGCAGAACTGAAGTGGCTGCTGCGCAGCAGCCCATTTGTTACTCATATCTTTTGCCCCTCTTTGCAAGTTTTGGAAAGAAACAAACAGGCGAAGCAATTATTAAAATGTTTAATTAACAGAGCAGCAGCAGCAGCACCTGCTGCTGCTGCTGCTGCAGCAGGCGCTCCTGGTGTTGCCGCTGCCAAGCACAGAGCAGCAGCAGCAACAGCAGCAGCAGCAGCACCCCCCCACGAGAGCCGCCGCCGACAGCAACAGCAGCAGCAGCAGCAGGGGCTGGCTTTGGCTGGCGGCTGCGGCGCTGCTGCTGCTGCTGCTGCTGCTGCTCACACGGTGATATTCGAAGGCATAGAGACACTTCCTGCTGCTTCTCAGTTTTTTATTTTTAATTTAATTAAAAATAAAAACATCAGCTTCATTCTAATCTGCAGCAAAATTCATTTGCTGCTGCGGCCCCTCAGAGACTGCTGCTGCTGCTGCAGATTTCCCCGTCCTGCTGCTGCGGAGCTGGCCCTCTACCTGCGCAACAAAGCAGCAGCAGCAGCAGCAGCAACAGCAGCAGCAGCAGCAACAGCAGCAGCAGCAGCAACAGCAGCAGCAGCAGCAACAGAAGCAGCAGCAGCAACAGCAACAGCAGCAGCAGCGGAAACTCCATCATCAGCAGCAACAGCAACAACATCAGCAGCACCAGCAGCAGCACCAGCAGCAGCTCCAGCACCAGCAGCAACAGCAGCAGCAGCAACAGCAGCAGCAGCAGCAGCAGTCCCGAGTTTAGGTTATTTTGCTGCCATTGCCCGCGCTGTTGGCTGCGAGCCATTTGCTGCGCTGCTGCTGCTGGAGAAAGCGCAGAAGAACAATTTTGGCCCGCTGCAGCTGCTGCTGCCGCACAGCTACCAGCAGCAGCAGCAGCAGCAGCAGCAGCAAGGGAAGCAGAAGCAGCTGCAGCAGCAGGAGGAGGAGCAAGAAGACATGCAACAAGACGACCAGCAGCAGCAGCAGCAGCAGCAGAACGGGCAGCAACAAGAACAAGACCTGAAGCAGCAGCAGCAAATCGAGAATCAGCAGCAGCTGCAGCAAGAGGAACAGGAAAAAATACAGCAAGGCGAGCAGCAGCAGCAGCAGCAGCAAGAGGACAAGCAGCCGCCGCAGCAGCAGCAACAGCAACAAGAACAAGAGAAGCTGCAGCATGACGAGCAGCAGCGACAGCAGCAGGACGAAGAACAGCAGCAGAAAGAAGAACAACAGCAGCAACGACGGCAGAAGCAGCAGCAGGAGCAGCAGCAAGACGAGCAGCAGCAGCAGCAGCAGGTCGAGGAGCAAGAGCAGCAGCAGAAACAGCAGTTGCAGCAGGACGAAGAGCAGCAACAGCAGCAGCAGCAGCAGCAGGAGCAGAACCAACAAGGGAAGCAACAAGACGAGCCGCAACAAAAGCAGAAGCAGCAGGAGCACCGAGACAAGCAGCAGCAGCAGCAGCAGCAAGGCCTGGTAGGCACCACGGGTTCCTGTGGCAAGACTGCTGCTGCTGCTGCTGCAGCAGCAGCAGCACCTGCTGCTGCTGCTGCTGCTCCTGTCTCCTCTTGCTGCTCAGTTTTGCTGAGGCTGGAGAGGCTTTTGCAGAGAAAGAAAAATGATGCAAAAACGTAAGTTCTTTTTTTCCTTTTTATTTCTTTTTTAATTCTTTTTAATTCTTTTTAATTCCTTTTTTATTCTTTTAATTCTTTTTATTTCTCTTTTGTTTTGCTTTGTCTTTGGTGGCTCTCACGCAGTTTCAACCCCGTTGCTGATCTTGCTGCTGCTGCTGCTGCTGCTGCCGCTGCTGCACTATTGCTTTTGGTGCTGCTGTAGCAGCAGCTGCTGCTGCCACAACTACTGCAGTTGCTGCTGCAGCTGCTGTTGTAACTGCTGCTGCTGCTACAGCCCCGATGCCACTTGCTGCTGCTACTGCTGCTGCTGCTGCTGCTGCCTGCATGCAGTTCTCCGAGTCATGGCTTGCTGCTGCTGCTGCTGTTGATACTGCTGCTGCAATTTGCATGCATCTACCAGCTCATGCTTTACTGCTGCTTCTGCGTGTGCTGCTTCTGCTGCTGCTTCTATTGCTGCTGCATCTGCTGCGCTGCTTCTGCTGGCTGCGCCGCTACTGCTGCTGCTGCTGTGCTGCTGCTGCTGCTGCTGGTGCTGCAGTTTGCATGCGCTTCGTGGGTTATGGTTCGAAGCATTTTCAAAAGAACATTTGGGGCTTTTTGATCGGGCAGATGATTTGCTGCTGGTAAAGACTTTCAACTTCTTTTTGTTTTATTTAATTTAATTATTTATTTATTCATTTATTTATTTATTCATTTATTTTTTTTGTTTATTTGTTTATTTGTTTGTTTGTTTATGTTTTATTTAATTTAATTAGTTCAAATTAGTTTAAATAGATTTAATTAAAATAATTTAATTTAATTTAATTTGGTTTTTGTTTTTTGGGTTGTAAAGACGGCCACTGCGGAATTTCCTTTTCATTTAATTCAATTAAACGAATAATAAATTAAATCAATTTAATTAATCAAATAATTGAATAAATTAATTAACTGATTAATCATTTATTTATTTATTTATTTTTATTTTTTGTTTCAGGCTCTTCGGCGTCGTTTGTGTTTTTTAAATTCGCAAAAAGAAAAATACGAAATTGAAATAACTTCCTTCTTCGCCAAACAAGTATTTAATTTAATTTAATTTAATTAATTTAATTGAATTAATTTAATTAATTTGATTTAATTTAATTTAATTTAGTTTAATTAATTAAATTAAATTAAATTAATTAACTGTATTTATTTGTCTGTTTGTTTTTTTAAGTTGTTTTGCTTGTTTGTTATTTGTTTGTTTGTTTTGTCTGCTTGCATGTTTTATTTGTTTTTACTTTATTTATTTTTTTATTTGTTTTTCTTATTTAATTGTTTGTTTTACTTATTTGCAGCAGCAAATTCACGTGTCTCCTTTTGCTGCTGCTGCTGCTACTGCTGCTGCTGCTACTGCTGCTGCTGCTGCTGCTGCTGCTGCTGCGGTGTATGTACAGTCGAGTTCGCTTCGCCGCTGCGCTGTCTCGGCAGCTTTTCCGGCTTTTTTTGATTTTGTAAATAAAGAAATAATTCATTTCAGAAATAAAATTGAAAACAAAAATCAATTAAAATCTTAAAAAAAGAATTAATTCAAAATCTTGAAGTTAGAAAAACAGCTAACTTAAAGTCATAAAATTGGAAAAAAAGAATGAATTTAAAATCATAAAATTAAAAACTAAATTTTAAATTCCAAACTTTTTTCAAGAGAGACTAAAAGGTCTTTTTGTTTCCTTTTGTCTCTTTTGGTTTTTTATTTCTTTTTTATTTTCTTTTTTATTTTCTTTATTTTCTTTTTTATCTTCTTTTTTATTTCTTATATTTTGCTTTTTATTTTCTTTTATCTTTTTATTATTTCTTTTTATCTCTCTATTTTTCTCTTTATCTTTTTTATTTCTTTTTTATGCTTATTTTCTTATCTTCTTTTTCAGTCTCCTTTTCTCTTTGTATTTCTTGTATTTCTTTTTTATTTCTTCTATTTCTTTTTTATTTCTTTTTTCTTTTTTTCTTTTTCTCCTTTTTAAAATCTTTCTGTCACTTTGTGTCACTTTTAACCTTTTGAATTTTTTTTAATCTTTTTATCTCATTTGATTTTCTTAAAACTCTTTTTGATTTTTTTTATCTTTCCAAATTCTTTTATCTTTTTTGATTTTTTATTTTATCTTTTTTTCAACTTTTCGAAAAACTATTTTTGTCTTTTTTTAATTTCCTTTTATCTTCTTTGAATCTTTTTGTCTTTTTTATTTTTCAATTCTTTTTGTCTTTTTAAGATTCTTTGTATCTTTTCAAAATTAATTCTTTTTTGTCTCATTTGTTTTTCGTTTTCTTTTCTTCTCTTATTCTCTCATTTATTCTTTTCTTCTTTTCTTTTTCATTCTTTTTATACTTTTTATTCTTTTATTCTTTTATTCTTTTAATTCTTTTGTTCTTTTTATATTTGTATTCTTTCATTCTTTTCCTCTTTTTTCTTTTCTTTTTTTCTGTTTTTTAAAATTTGGGAAAAAGACAAAAAGACGATGGCTGCCTTTGGTCCAATTAGCAGCAAATTTATTTATTTATTTATTTGCAAATTATTCATTTTATTATTTGTTTATTTATTTATATTATTATTTATTATTTTTCATTCATTTATCAGTTATTTAGTTATTCAGTTATTTTGTTATTCAGTTATTTTGTTATTTTGTCTATTTATTTATTTACTAGTCAGTTATTTAGGGACCTAATTACTCAGATATTTAGTTTATTTATTTATTTATTTACCTATTTATTTATTTATCTATTTAGCTTATTTAGTTATTTGTTTAGTTATTTGTCTATTTACTTATTTATTTATTGCTTGTTATTGTTTATTATCTATTTATTTAGTTAGTGGGGTACTAGCTTATTTAGGTATTTGGTAATTTATCTTTTTGTTTATTTATTTATCTATTTATTTGCTTCCGTTTTTCATAACTTGGTTGTCTATTTAACAATTCAGTAATTCACTAATTTGACAGTTTAATAATTTATAAATTTATGAATTTAATCTTTTCTCGTCACAAGTGTTATCTTTATTTATTTTTGTTTTTTATTTTTTAATTATAAAAAAGAAATTAATGAAACAGCAAAAGAGGCGAAAAATAAAGTTTACTTTTACTCGCCAAACGAGCTTCAAAGTGCTGCTACTGCGGCAGCAGCAGCAACAGAGCAGGAGCAGGAGCAGCAGCAGCAGCAGCTGTTGCTGCTTCTGCTGCGTGCATGCAGGGAGAGGCAGCAGCAGCAGCAGCAGCAGTGAAGAGGCAAATAAACAAAACAAAGCAAATAAACAATGGATTAATCAAATGAATGAAAATAAAATAGCCTTATTTATTTTTTATTTATTTATTTATTCATGATGAGCAGAAGCCCACGAGACTTTCTGGGGCTTTCCCTCTGCATACAGCGGAGACGGCCTATTTTGATTAATTAATTGGAATTTTATTTGTCTAAATTTATTATTTAAATTTAATTGTTTAAATTTATTCATTTTAATATATTATTTGCCCATCATCTCATTTCTCCGCCGCTGCTGCTGCCGCTGCTGCAGCAGCGGCAGCAGCAGCAGCAACAGCAGCAGCAGCAGCCCCAAAGGGCTGTAGCCGGAACTCTGAATAAATACGAATTAAACGTAAATAAATAAATATAAAATTAAATTAAAATTAAATTAAAATTAAATTAAACTTAAATTAAATAAAAAGCATTTCGTTTAGCTCCGAAAGAGCCGTTTTGCTGCTGCTGCTGCTCTACTGCTGCTGCTCGCGCCAGGCAGCAGCAGCGGGAAACGGACAAATAAATGAGTAAACAGAAATAAATAATTAAATAAATATAAATAAATTAATGGATTAAAATAATAAAATAAACAAATAATAAATAATAACAAATAAATCCCTCTGAAAAATAAATGATTTTACTTTTTCTTTACAGGCCTACTGCTAGCTGGCTGCTAAACCCTAAACCCTAAACCCTAAACCCTAAACCCTAAACCCTAAACCCTAAACCCTAAACTTTAGATGAGTGGTTTGAAGACAAAGTCTCACCCTGCGTCCACTTTGGGCGTCAGAGATGAGAAGCAGCACGACAAAGGGGACAGCAGCCGCAGCAGCAGCAACGCCAGCAGCAGCAGCAGCAACAACAACAGCAGTAGCGGCGGCAGCAGCAGCAGCGTAGTCTCTACTTCTCTTTTTCCCCGGGCTATAACTGCGGCTGACGTAGTGTCTCTTTGGTCTTTATGCGAAACAGCAGAAAAGGATAAAGCAGCAGCAGCAGCAGCTGCTGCTGCTGTTGCTGCTGCTGCAGCTCGCGGCGACCAGCACCCCTTCGCTGTTGAGGACCCTCTGCAGCATCAGTATGCTGCTGCTGCTGCTGCAGCAGCAGCAGCTACTGGCAGCAACTTCACGAGGGGCCCCGGGGCCCCCAGCAGCAGCAAAGCCTCAATAGCAGAAAGAAGAAAAAAGAAAAGTGAAAGAGAAGAGAGAAAAGCAGCAGCAGCAGCAAAGAAAATGAACTCTTCAGTAGGGAGGACTGCAGCAAGCAGCAGCCTCACGCCCCACGCTGCAGCAGCTGCTGCTGCTGCAGCCGCGGCAGCAGCAGCAGACAGCAGCAGCAGCAGCAGCAACGAAGACACCAAAACAGGGGGGCCCCAGGGGGGCCCCCTGCACCCTCCTGAGCCTCCGAGCCCCGATGACATCCTTTTAGCCTTGTTAGGGCTGCCAGCAACAGCAGCAGCAGCAGATGCAGCAGCAGCAGCAGCAGTAGATTCACTAGCAGCAGCAGCAGTTAGTGCACTTGTCTTTAGCTCCCTTTGCTTCTGCAAGGAGCAGCTAATTCATCCTGCTGCAGCAGCAGCAATTGTTAACTTCCTGGGCGCGCAGCTTTACTGCATCAAGAAGCAAACAAACAGCAGCAGCAGCAGCAGCAGCAGCAGTAGCAGCAGCAGCAGCAGCAGCAGCAGCAGCAGCAGCAGCATCGCCATCAGCTCTCCGGGCGGCTCTGCGCCCGTTTGCAATTACGAGGTGAGATGAACAGTAAATAAGAAAAAAAAGGAAACAAATAAATAATCAATTAATTTAAGTTAAATAATAAATAATAACAAACAAATAAATAAATAAATAAAATAAATAAATAAATAAATGTGTCATAAGGAAGTAATGGCAAATGCAAAGGAGCGGGCTTTTGTGCGTGTATCTGTGTATTGTTACTGCTGCTGCTGCTGCTGCTGCTGTTGCTGTCGCTGCTGCTACTGCTGCTGCTGCAGCTGCTGCTGGGGCTGAAGCAGCAGCTGCAGTGGGAAACGGACAAGTTTCTGCTGCAGCTGCAATCAGGCATTCTCGGCAGCAGCAGCAGCAGCAGCAACAGCAACAACAGCAACAACAGCAGCAAAGCAGAAGCAGCAACGGCAGCAGCAGCAGCAGCAGCAGATTTAAACAGCAGCAAAGCATTAAAGCTGCTAAGTCCCAAAGAAATAGAATTAATTAAAAAGCAGCTGCATCTGCTGCTAATTGATTCAGCAGCTTTTTATGCTGCTGTCCTCAATAGGGGCCCCCCAGGGGGCCCCCACAGCGCTGCTGCTGCTGCTGCTGCTGCTGCTGCTGGTGATGCTGCTGCGGCAGCACCAGCAGCAGCTGCTATTGCTGCTGCTGCTGCTGCTGCTGCTGCTGGCAGCAGCGGGTAAAGAAACAGCTTGCAAGTCCCAACCTATCCCAAATTAAAGTTTATTTTTTGTTTATTTTATTTATTTATTTATTTATTTATTCATTTATTCATTTATTTATTTTGATTTTTTAATTGGCAAACTTTTCAAACAATTAGTTTACTCTGAGAAGTAAAATGATAAAAAGTTTCTTTAAATTAGAAAAAAATAAAAAGTTTCATTAGTTAGAATCAAAAAAGATAAAATATTATCTCTTTTGGGAAATTAAAAAAGATTTTCTTTTTTTCGGCAATTAAAAAGGATAAAATGTTTCTTTTCCCTGAGAATTACGAAAATAAAAGTTTCACTTTTGGATAATTAAAAAAGAGAATTAAAAAAGAATAAAAGTTATTTTTGGAGAACTAAAAAAGATAAAAAGCCTTTTATTTTTGTAGAATTAAAAAGAGTCAAGGGAGCTTCTTTTGGGCCTTTTAAAAAGAGAAAATTGCTTTTTTGAAAAGACTAAAAAGAGGCAAAAAGTCTTTCTTTAGAAAAGTTAAAAAGAGACAAAAAAGTCTGTTTTCAAATAAAACTAAAAAGAAACAAAAAGTCCCCTTCTAAAAGAGTTAAAATGCAGAAAAGAGTTCTTCCTTTTATTTGTAAAAAAGACAAAAAAAGTATCTTTTAAAATTAAAAGAACTCTTTTTGGGTTTCTAAAAGGAGACAAAAGTCTCCTGTTAAAGAAATAAAAATGTTCAAATATTCTTTTGTCTTTTATTTTCTTTTGGGATTCAAAAAAGAATTAAAAGAATTAAAAGAATCTCTTTTTTCTTTTAATCTTTTTCGAGCTCCAAAAAGAGAATCAAAAGACCAGAAAGAATCTTTTTTATTCTCTTAATTCTTTTTTGAAATCAAAAGAATCGAAGGACCTAAAAGAGCCTTTTTTATTCTTTAAATTCCTTTTTTGAAATTAAAAAGGATTGAAAGAATAAAAAGATTCTTTTTTGTTCAAAGATTAAATCTCAACTTCCTATAGCAGCTTCTTTTTATTCTTTTTTTGAAATAAAAAGAATAAAAAGATTTCTTTGTTTAGAGATTAAATCCCAGCATCTTATAAGACATTCCTTTTCTTCTTCTAATTCTTTTTTGAATAAAAAAAGAATTAAAAGAATAAAAAGATTCTTTTTTGTTCAAAGATTAAATCTCAACTCTTTATAAGCTTCATAATCATACACAACGGCCTTGCATGCAACTAAATCCTTTCCTGATTCTTTTTTGGACAAAAAAGAATAAAAAGAATAAAAAGATTCTTTTTTAAATTGGTTTTTATAAATTAAAGGTTAAACTTCAACTTTTTATAGGCTTCATAATCATAAAGTTCACATTCAACTTTCTTTTTATTAAATTTTCTTTTCGGAAGAATTCGCAGCGCCCTGTTCGCCTCTGTACGTACACCCCGAAATAACAACACACTTCACCACTTTTCATTATTTCGTTTTTGCTTTTATTTATTTAATTTAATTTAATTTGATTTAATTTAGTTTAAATTAATTTAACTTAGTTTAACTTATCTTTAATTTAACCCAATATTGATTTGTTCTGTTTTTCCCTTTTTGCATTTAGGTCTGTTTAATTATATTTATTTCCTTTTGTTCTTATTCAGTTGCATTTTTCCACTTGTTTTCGTCATTTTAATTTACTTTCATTTAAATCTGCTTATTCCTGTCAACATTTATTTATTCATTTTTATCTCTTCCCATTTATTTCTATTTATTTTTACGCATTTATTTATTTTCATTTATTTCTTTATTTTCATTTATTTCTATTTGTTGCTTTTTATTTTTATTCATTCTTAATTCATTTATTTATATGTGATGGATTTAATCTGCTTCTCGCTGTCGAAACCCCAAAGCTCAAACCCTAAATCCTAAACCCTAAACCCTAAACCCTAAACCCTAAATTAGGGTTTACCTTCGGGAAGCGTGAAGAGCGCAAAGACCCGGACTTCCTTCGTGGACTCCACTATGTGCACTCGCACTTCTCTCACGCGGCCGTACTTTTTGCATTGTTCCAAAATCTGAAAATAAAAATAAATTAACTCCATTTGTTTTTAAATTTGAAAATAAAAATAAATTCTCCTTTCGTATCTAAATTTGAAAATAGAAAAATAGATTCATGCCCCCATTTAGATCTGAAAATAGAAAATAAATCAATTTTCTAATCCTCGATTACTTAATCTTTAATAAAAAAGGAGATAACTCAAATAAATAAATGCATAACAAATATTTGAAAGAAAGAAAGAAGAAAGGAAAGAAAGAAATAATAAACAAACAAACAAAAATAAAATACTGAACAATTAAATAAAGAAAATAAAAAAGATTTGACAAAAAGAAAAATCCAAAAAATGCAAAAAAATAAAAACTGGAAATAACCAAAAGACACTTGTGGGGTTTCTGGAGGCCTAAAAACTTGGGTCAAATACATGCAAAAGAAGCGAAGAAGAATTCAAAAAAGAAAAAGAAATTAAAAAAAGAAAAAATAAGTTTAATTTCACCTCCTGCTGCAGCTGCTCGTCCACTTCTTCCGCCGGCAGCAAATTTTTCAAAACGATCAAAGACGAAGGCCTTTGTCCGTTTTGTTTGTCTAAACAAACACCTAATCTTTTATCTGAATAAATAAATAAATAAACAAATAAATAAATAAATAAATAAATAAATAAGTTAAATTTATTTAAATTCCACTTTTTTTGGAGTTGATCCGCCAAAAAACGAAATTAATTGGACTTTTATAAGAGGGGCTTTGTCCGTTTTGTTTGTCACAAACACTTAGTCTTTTATCTGAATAAGTGAACAAATAAATAAATTTGAAACAAAAAAATAAATAAATAAATTGGTTAATTAATTGTCATTTAATTGAATTCTAGTTTTGTTTTGGAGTTGATTGGTAAAAGAATGAAATTAAATGGACTTTTAGACGAGGAACTTTGCCCGTATTGTCTTTTATTGAAAAATAAATGGATAAACAAATAAATAAATAAATAAATGCTTAACTAAATAAATAAATAAATAAATATTAAATAATAAGTAAATAATTAACTGTCGTTTAATTGAATTTAATATTTGGCAAAAGAATGGGAGAAATTAAAAAAAAAGAATTCTGAAAAAATGAAAAAGACAAAAACGGGACAAAAATAAAACTAAAAGAAATTTGAAAAAATAAAATAAATAAAGAAATTAAGACAAGTCAATAGATTAGAAAATGAAATAAAATGAAGTACAAAGACATAAAAAAGAATTGAAAAAAAAGTTTAAGAATGAATTAAACGAATTAAATGAATTAAAATAAAATAATAAATTACAATTAATTAATTAAATTAATTAATTTAATTAATACAATTAAATAAAGTAAACCATCCGTGGTACTAATGGCTTTTGCTGCATCATCTTTTTGATAAAAGTGAATTAATTAAAAGCAATTAAAGCAATTAAAACAATTAAATGAATTAAAATAAATACATTAATTAAAATAAATTAATTAATTTAACTATTTAAATTGATTAAATTAATTAAAACTAACTTGCTACAAGAAAACCATCCATGGTACTAATGGCTTTTGCTGCATCATCTTTTTGATAAAAGTGAATTAAAACTTCTCCCAAATGCGAAAACAAATTTATCGCCATTATCGGCCCAAACACTTCCATTATTTGCTGCACACAAACACAAACAACCTGCTGCTGCTGCTGCTGCTGCTGGTGCTTAACAGCAGCAACAACTGCTGCTGCTGCTGCTACAATAACAACATCCGCTGCGGCTGCTCCAATAACAACATCCGCTGCTGCTGCTGCTGCTGCAACAACAACTGCTGCTGCAGCAGCAGCAACTGCTGCTGCTCCTGCTGCTGCTGCTGCTTACTTTAACATCTTCTTCAGAAAAGTTTTCTGGGAGATTTGTGACGCGGACAACTCGGCCCTGGTTTATTATGTCGTCGGGGTGAGAGGCCTGAATGGCTTCTGCAGTTCAAATAAATAAATAATAAATAAATAAATAAATAATAAATAAATAAATAAATAAATAAATAAAAATAAAAAATAAATAATAAATAATGTGTGATAAATGAAGAATTAAGGGAAAGTTGATGGCATTTAAAGAACGAAGAGCCGCCAGCAGCTGCTGCTGCTGCTGCTGTAGACCCTAAACCCTAAACCCTAAACCCTAAACCCTAAACCCTAAACCCTGACCTTGGGTGTCTTTCTGAAATGGCGCCGTTCCAAACAGCCCCTTTGCCTCCTGCCCACACGCACCGCACCCAAACCCTAAACCCTAAACCCTAAACCCTAAACCCTAAACCCCAACCCCCAACCCCCAAACCCCAACCCCAACCCCTAACCCCAAACCCTAACCCCCGCACCCCCCCCAAACCCAAGCCCCAAGCCCCAAGCCCCAAGCCCCAAACCCTAAACCCTAAACCCTAAACCCTAAACCCTAAACCCTAAACCCTAATTGCCTGGGGCAGGCGGTTGCGCTTGAGGCGAAGCAGCCGGTCTTCGCCGCGGGCAATGGCGTCTCGCGTTTCTTTCCAAAGAGATCTTTCTTCTTCTGTCATTGGACTCTTCACAATCAGCTCGTGGCCCTTCAGCAAGAAGCCGTCCATGGCCTCCCGCGCCATGTCCTGCATGCACAACACTGCACCAGCTAGCTAGCTAGCTAGCTGGCTAGCTGGCTAGCTAGCTGGCTAGCTGGGTAGGGGGCATGCAAGTTGGTGAAGAAACGGCTAGCTAGCTCTCTATAGAAGTGTTTGTGCGGCCTTTTCATAAAATGCCATCCATGGCCTCCCGCGCCATTCCTGCAGCAGACACGCACCA